GGAACACTTCCACCATATGCTCGTCGCCAACTGCCTCTGCTGGCACCCACGTGTTTTCCGACCAGGGCTCTCCTTCCCACGCCACCAAGTACTGCACCTGCCGCCCTCGCCACCTTGAGTCCACTATCTCTGCGGCCGTGCTCTGGTGTTCCCTCTCTTCTACCTGTGGTTGTGGCAAGACTTCTACCTCCCGCCCCTCGAATTCCCGCCCCTCTCTGTGTGGTGAGAGCAAGGACCTATGGAACACAGGATGTATTTTCATGTTGTTGGGCAACCTGAGCTTGAACGCCACTGGGTTTATCTGTTGTATGACTTCAAAAGGGCTCAGTCTTCTGGGCTGCAACTTCTTGCACCCTCCCTTAAAGGATAACCCTTGAGTGGACAACCACACGCGATCCCCCACCCTAATGGTTTCCCCTTCCCTCCGGTGTTTATCTGCTTGCTTCTTGTAACTGGCTTTGGCCCTTTCTAGGTTAGTCTTGAGCTGCTGATGTAACGCTTCCATTTCTTCCACAAACTGTTCAGCTGCAGGCACACTCCAGCTCTGTTCCTCATTACCCGGGAATGCCCTGGGATGACACCCATAATTGGCTAAGAAGGGGCTCATACCGGTGCACACATGTTCAGCATTATTGTACGCAAATTCTGCTAGCGCTAGTTTTTCTACCCAATCATTCTGCCTTTCACTAACGTAGCAGTGTAAGTATTGCTGGAGCACACTGTTTGCCCTTTCCGCCTGCCCATTGGTTTCTGGGTGTCTCGCTGTCGAGAAGCTGACCTTGACTTGCAGTAGGCTCATGAGCTTCCTCCAGAACCGTGAAGTAAATTGCCTTCCGCGGTCAGATAAAACCCTCAAGGGGGCGCCATGCAGCCTGAAAATGTGTTCTACAAACAACCTTGCTGTTTCTTCTGCCGTCACGGCATGGGAACAGGCGATAAAATGGCACATTTTGGTTAGCAAGTCGACAACTACCATAACTGCTGTTTTACCCCTCGATTTGGGCAAATCCGTCATGAAATCAATTGACACCACCTCCCAGGGTTTGTTTGGCGTGGGTAGGGGTTCCAGCAAACCTGCTGGCCTCGTGCGTTCCCCTTTGGCCCTCTGGCAGCGATCACACCCTCTTACATATACACGTACATCTTCCCTCACCCGTGGCCACCAAAATTGTCGGGTCACCAGCATCATGGTTTTGTGTTGCCCAAAGTGCCCCGCTGTGGGGGTGTCATGGAGCTGTTTAAGTACCCTTATTCTTAGAGCCTCCCCCGGTACGTACATCGCCCCCCTGTAGTACAACACCCCGTCCTTCTCTTCAAACCCCTCTGGTGCTCCACTCCCCTCTTCGAGTTCCCTGATTTTTGTCCGGGCGAATTCATCGTCCCTAGTGAGTCCTGCCAGTTCTCTCGTGCCCACTAGAGTACCCCCACACACCCATCAGTCCTCAGGTATGACGTGGCGGGTCTCCGGCGGCCCCTCTCCTTCGAAGTACTCTGGTTTCCGTGAGAGAGCGTCTGCTCTCACATTTTGCTCGCCGGGCACATACTGGATTTCGAAGGAAAACTTGGAAAACTCCTGCGCCCAGTGAATCTGTCTCTGGTTGAGCACCCGTGCTGTCCGCCAATATTCCAAGTTCTTGTGATCTGTGCAGACCTGGATCTTATGCTGCGCCCCTATCAGCAAATGGCACCACCGACGAAAGGCGGCGTAAATGGCTAGCAGTTCTCGGTCGTACACGGTGTAGTTTTGTTCCGACTTGCTCAGCTTCCTCGAGAAAAAGGCGCACGGTTTCCATTCTTGCTTGTTCAGTCCTGGCTGCAACAGAACCGCCCCTATGGCTCTGTCTGACGCGTCTGTCTCCACCCTCATTGGTTTCTCCAAATCCACATGTAGTAATTGTTCCTCCGACGTGAATGCCTTCTTCAATCTTTCAAAGGATTGCTGGGCTGCCTCCGTCCACACGAACTTCCTTTTACTACTGAGACAGTCCGTGATTGGGGCCGTCATGTGCGCAAAGTTCTTGATGAACTTCCGGTAGAAATTTCCAAAACCCAGGAACCTCTGCACATCCTTTCATGTCTTTGGGGTCTTCCACTCCAATACTGCTTGCACCTTGCTTGGGTCCATCGCTAAGCCTTTGTCAGATAACCTGTACCCCAGGAACTCCACCTCTCGGGCATGAAACTGACATTTCTCTAGCTTGACCCACAACTGGTGTTTCTGCAAACATTGTAGCACTTCCCTGACATCTCTCACATGTTGTTCCTCATTTTCTGAATAAATCAAGACGTCGTCCAGGAATGCTACACAGTTCTTGTAAAGCAGAGACCCCAACACGTGGTGCATGAAAGCTTGAAAACAGGCGGAGCCTGACTGTAATCCGAAAGGCATAACGAGATATTCGAAAGCCCCCAGGGGTGTGAACATGGTGGTCTTCCATTCATCCCCCTCTCTCATCCTGATTAAGTTGTAAGCCCCCCTCAGATCTAGCTTGGTGAAGATCTTTCCCTTCCTCACTCTCGTCAGAATGTCATCAATTCTGGGCATCGGGAAAGTCACAGGTTCTGACACCAAATTTACCCCCCTGTAATCCACTACAAGCCTCGGTTTATCAGTGTCCTTTTTGTCCACAAAAAATACTGGACTGCCCCCCACTGCCTTTGACTCTCTTATAAACCCTCTCTTTAGGTTCTTGTCGATAAAGTCCGATAGCTCCTTCATCTCCCTGTCAGACATGGCATACAGCTTACCCACCGGCAGCTGCGCCCCAGGGAGCAAATTGATCTGGCAATCGAACGGCCTGTGGGGTGGCAGTCTATCTGCCTCCTTTTCACTGAAAACCTCCTTCAGATCAGCATATTGCGGTGGCACCTCCCCTTTACCCTCCACTGCAGTGCTTGCCACTCTGGCTACGCTCATCCTTGGCGTTTCCCCTCCTAGGCAGTGCTGCAGGCAGTAGTCAGACCCAAAGCTGACGGTCCTCTGATGCCACACCACCACCGGATCATGTTGCACTAGCCAACTCATCCCCAATATTATTGGTGGACCCGCTAATGAGGCAACATGGAAAGCGATTGTCTCTGAGTGCCTAGACACTCTCATTCTCATCGGTGGGGTCTGGTGGGTAACTTCCCCCCCAATCAGCTCCCTCCCATCAATGGTGGTGACTTGCAGAGGTGCATCCAAAGGCAGCAGGTGAAGCTGATGCTCTAAGGCAAAGTCCCTGCTAAAAAAATTGCATGAGCTTCCTGAGTCCAGCATACCTTGAACTTTCACTGGGTGCCCATTTGGGAGCTCAAGCACCACCTCAATGGCAATCGCTGCTCTTGGAGAATCTGGTTTGGGCACATTCATTGGTTGTTGGCTCGGCTGCTGTGCCTGCTGATTGGCAGCCAAGCGTTTCCGTTTCCCTGCTCCGGAGTCTGGGGTTCCTCCTCCTCTCCCCCCATGGCCCCCACCATTGCTTGCCAGGCCTTTCTTTGTGGGCAGACTCTGGCAGAATGTCCTGGCTTTTGGCAAAGGAAACATTTCTTGGTCGTTTTTAGATCCTTTCCCTCCTTTTTGCGACACTCGCTGGCGTTTGAAACTTCCTGGGCGCGCGCACCGCCTATTTCCATTGGCTCCGCCGGCGGGGAAGGCTGCCTAGGTATTCTAGGAATCCGGTAGTCATGACAACGCTGCTCTCTCCCTTCCCGCCTCTCTTCCTGTCTTACTCCAATCGCAAGGGCTGCCTTGGTCAGCTGGTCCATAGACTGTGGGCGGGGTGCGCGCGAAAGTTCATCCTTGACTGTTGCTGAAAGCCCCTCCTCAAATAGCATCTGAATGGGTTCCGCGTCCAGCTGCCACCCCAGACGATGAACAATCATGGCAAAACGGAACCAATAGTCTCTAACTGACCCTTCTCCCTGCTTACAGCTTAGCAGTTCCCGTTTGGTCACACTCTGCTGCACATCGCTATTGAACATAGCGTCCATCGCCTGAAAGAATTTCGATAGATCCTCCATGGCGTCATTCTGCGTCGCCATAAGCGGCCGAATCCATTCTCTCGCCCCGTCCTCCAAGTGCCCCACAATATAAGCAACTTTGGCTGCGTCATTTTCAAAATCATTTTTCTGCAGCTTCAAGGCATATTCTATTTCTGTTCTAAATGCCCCATACTCTTGAGGCTTTCCCCAAACTTGTGCACCAGTCCCGGTACCTTCCTCGCTATGGGGGTGGGTTTCCCCTGAGCATCCAACGACCGTCGTTCGTCCAGCCTCGCCATCAGGATGGCTATGTGCTCTTCCAAATCGCGGTTTCTCTCCTCCAGCGATTGGACTCCAGTCGCCCCTCCCGTGGCTCCAGCTCCTCCGGTCGTACTCATGATGCCCCCTTCTGTTTGTTGCGCACGAGCAACCTTCAGGGACAGACAGATTGCTGTAGTGGTTGGGAGTTACTCGTGCGTAATCCTGCTCCGTTTGAGCCTCGGATTGCCTGGTTAAACCCTCCGGACTACACAGCCCATCTTAGCGTGGCTGCTCTTAGTCACTCGTAGAATCTGTCTGTGGGCGTTTCTTAAAGCGTTGCCAACATAAGAGTTGTTTGACGCCCAATCGTTTCCTCCTCTCACTGTGCGGGAGTCTCCTGCGCAGGGTGGGCGTGGGCAGTGGGGTGCTGGGGCTCTCCTCGCTAACTTCCAATGAAGAGTCCTGGAGCCCCTGCACCTCCCTGTCCCGTTGCTCTCCCTGATCCCTGGTGTTACACTCATTCTCTTCCCCTTCTTCCCGGCTGAGTCTCCCTCTAGTGCTTGGACCTTCCCCTGCAGAATCAGAGACCCTCTCCTTCTCCCGTGCCTCTGATGGCAGTTCCCTGACAATGAGTGTACCACTGCTGAGGTGAAATCTGCCCAACTACTACTTGTCTAACTGTATGCATGCCAATAGAAATTATATCCCAAAACTGCTCCAGCATAAGGCAGCTTTCTCTTTTCCTGTCATCAGCATCAAGGACATAATGCAATGCAACCCTCTATAGTTTTTATTGTATATTTTTATGTTTTATCATAGGTTGTATACTCCCTTGGAAACTGACGCTGAAGGGCTCCATAGAAAGTTGTTAATAAAATAATCTTTTAATTAAAAAAACCAAGTTACTACAAGGCTTAACTTTCAGTGACTGTACCTTAAGTCTGGATTAGCAGTTCTACTCCATTAAAACATGAAACGTAACCATGTTACTCTGGGTTTGGTATTGCAGTTTGATACTGCTGATGCATCACATCATATAGTAATAGCAATTTCTGAAATGGCTTAAGAGCTACATGATGTACAAAACACATAAAAATAGACACAGCCCAAAAGGCTTACATGCTTTCTTTAGAAAGGAAGTTGAAAATAGAACAAAACATAAGAAGGCAGCAACAACCTTTAAACATAGGCTTCCTGAAAGATGTTTTAAGAAGAGGTAGATAATCAACTCAGTAATACTTTTCACAAATAAGCAGCAATAAGACAAAAAGCATATAATGTAGGGGAAAAATAAGGGAAAAAACATGTAGAAAGCCAAGATGAGAAATCAACAGGAGCTAGACCATGAATACATACAAAAAGGCAAGTTAACAGAACCTTTTATGCAAAATGGGCAAGGTAGGAGAGCAAAGAAAAACCAAGAGCAGAGAAACATTGTGTGCATCTGAGCCGAAAAAGTTAAGTAGGTGGCAAAATGCAAAACAAAAACAAGAGCCATAAGGTGGGATTGAGAAGACCTACTAAAAGGACATTACAACAAGTCAATTGGGGGAAAAGAAGATAATGAACAAGGTATGGGAAGCTGTCAGAGAAAGAAAATACTAAATCCGGGGGGTTGAGAATGACATAAGAATCCAAACACAAAACCAAGATCTTTAGCTTGAAAAGAAAGAAAGAGGGTGAGGGGATTAGAAATCCCATCTCTGAAAGACTTGGCCTTAAAAGAAAAGAAACCACACAAAGATAATAGCAAGATGAAAAGATGAAAGATTAACCAAATAAGAATATAAGTTAGAAAAATGTTTCTGACCACCATCAATGTACAGTCAAATCCCATCATATGTGGAGGGTTTGTTCAAGGGTTGAGCATAGCAGAAGGGCTGGGGGGGGGGCTCCCTTGCACCTCCAGTGCCTTGCCTCCACCTGTGAGCTGGCCAACAGAAGGGAGGAGGGCAGGCAGAGAGAAAGGAAGGCAGAAGGGAGGAGCAGAGAGAGCTGCAGGCAGAAGAAAAAGGCTGGAATGGAGCTGCAGCCCAGCGTGTCTAGTTGAAATCATGTATGGGAAATGCACGCAAGACTGCAAAACGATGATTCATAATGAAAGACGGAATAAAGTGCCATCCTATGCATGTTTTCTCAGAAATAGGTCCTATTGAGATACCCCTGAATAAGTGTATATAGGACTGCAGTCTAAGAGAACCTAAAGGGTAAAGGCAAAGAATAAAAACAAAGGGCCCAACAGGGAACCTGGAGAGTTCCTAACAGACTGGAAAAAAGAAGGAAAGATCAATGAAAGGAAACACAGTTAGGTGTGGTTAGAAAGGAAAAGACAGCAATCAAGAACACAACTATGAGACACCAAAATCATACAAAGAATATCACATTTACTACCTCTTGTTTCATCTTTCCACCTACTTCCTTTCAACGGTTTCCTTTTAGACCCTTCAAGCCAAAACTATATTTTGTTAACACAAACAAGGGAGTCTGCTGGCAGCTTCAAGATGAAATGCAGTTATTGTGGACAAGAACTCTTTTATGGACAAGAGCCCATTCACCCCGCACTGTGTAAACAGTGGAGTCATGGTCTGAAAACAGCTATTGGTATCAAAAGTTCTTACTTACTCGACAATCCCTCTGTAGCGTTTTCATGAGTGCACTATAAGTCTCCGAGTCAAAATATAACCCTTCATGCATGTCTTGAAGAAAATCCAAGTCTTTAAAGGTGGGGTTGGACTTCTCTCGCTCTTTCCTGGATGCCCTCCTTTTGTACGTGGAGCCTTTCAAGTCATAGTTGAAATGCATTTTCAGTGATCGAGGCAGAACATTGTTCATCACAATTATCCTGATATTAATGCCTCCCGACTGAACACAATACAGTCCATAAAATTTTGGTAGGAGTGTCCTTGGATTCTGGTTGAGATTCTTAAAAAACAAAATGAAGAAGCACCAATGAACATCAGAAGCACATTTAAAATAAGATTTCTGCATGCACCTTAATATAGACTAGGAAGTCAAGTCTATCCTAAACAAACCAGACATATACTTTTAATGAAATAATGCTTGAAGTGTTTTATTTTAAACTAAACTAAAAAAAAAGTTAAGCTCTTAAATTGGAAGGCTCTCTACACTGAGGACCAGTGGTGACAAGCAATCTAAATTATTCCATGCTTTGGTTTTAAATTTCCCCATCTGCCTTAACTATGGTTATCTGTTACATAGGTACTGACATTAATCGTAGTGAACATTAACCACATAAACTGACGTTAACCAGAACACTAGCCCTTAGCAAGGAGTTTCCAGCTATTTTGAAATTCTAATTTAAAGGGAATTAATAATAGAGGTTAATGTCACTGAATATGTTATGCTTCCAGAGAGGAAATTCTGGTGAACAGTAGAGAAGATGCATGGGATAATGTGGCCCACTTCTGATCTCTCAACTCTGGTTAAATCCATGTGGAACACATTCTCCCCACCTTTTCCCACGGCGATCAGCCAAGAGGGCAGCCAACATCTGGCCACCCCCTTAAAAAAGCTAAGGGTGGTCTGCTCGCAACCCCAAGATCCAGCTTCCGATTGGCTGAGTGGGCACTGAACATCCTTACCTGAGGGCCTCTTGTGGCTGGAGGGGGACAGTGCCAGCCATCCCTTCCCCCGACCACATCGGAAGATGGCAACTTCCCTGAACCCACCATGGTCGGGCCATTCGGCAATGGAGTCGCAGGTGAGCAGACATTCTCCCCACACTTTCTTTTTTGGCAAAAGTAGAGCCTATTACTCAAATTTTGGACAGTCAGAAGGCCTAAACAGACAAGTTCTGAAATAATGACTAGATGTAAGAGGTGGTAACAGTGACTCTGCTAGTATACAAATACATAGTTTACTAAGTCTCACTCGCTGGATCATCACCCTGTTGTAGTGAGTGGGCTTGCATGTTCCTATGACCCTTGTGAGTGAAGCTGTTGGGAATCTCGTACTCCCAGCAGGGTCAGCCAAGGCAGTAAGGTCAAAGGGAAGGAGCAAGACAAAGAATGATCCAAGAAGTCCTCAACGGCAGAACAGGCGGGTGATAACAAGCGTTATGTTACAACAGCTGTGAAGGCGGGTGAAGGCTGCAGCAGATAGGATCTACCGGTTCATCATGACTACTCATGCCATGAACAGAGCCCTACTGCAAAGACTGTGTGTTGATCAGCGTGCACTGATCTACACATATAAAACAAATTCACGCACAGGCGTCTTCCAAAAACCCAACCCAAACCCCCAAAAGTCCCATGGCGACCGCCAAATTGTAACGGGGGCAAGATCGTGAAATCTGGAAGCCCCTAGTCATGAACTGGCACATGGGCGGTGGATACAGATTCAGTCATTCTGACTCAAGGAACAAGGCAGTTGAGCAGCTCAGCAGCTGTATCCATGACTGAGCAGCCCTTTTTAGGATCCACTCTGCTCACCCCGAAAAGGGGGAGGGGCTAGAAAAGGTGCCCTAAACATAGTCTGCCTCCCTTTTTCCCTGACTGGAAAAAGACAATTGAACTTTGGAACATGGAATATATGGACTTTGTCAGATAACACAGATAACAGGCATCCTGAACAGAGAACTGCCATCACTGCAAGAGAGCTGCGAAGTTTTAACATCGATATTGCAGCGCTTCAACAGACTCGAAGAGCAGGCGAGGGACAACTGAAGGAAGAAAAAGGAGGCTACACATTCTTCTGGAAAGGTCTATTTGAACAAGAACATCGAATACATGGGGTAGGCTTCGCTATCAAAAATAAACCTTGTGAAGCTCCTGTCAGAAGTCCATACCGGCATTAATGAGTGACTCTCAACCCTTCGAATAAAGCTCACCAAAAACTAACAGGCTACTATTATAAGTGCTTATGCACCAACACTGGATGCTGATGAACACATTAAATAAAATTTTTACTCTCAGCTGGATCAGAGATGCCTATCAGAGATGCCTAAGGAAGATACAATTATCCTCCTGGGTAAGATTTCGATCTGTGGCCTGGGACTATTGGGAAAGAAGGAATTGGCAACAGCAACCAGAATGGAATCTTACTTTTGAAGATATGTGCAGCACACAACCTTGTTATTACCAACACACTCTTTTGACAGAAAAATAAATTTAAAACTTCATGGAGGCATCCTCGGTCAAACCACTAGCACCTTTTAGACTATGTTATTGTCCGTGCTAAAGATCACCATGATGTGCTCCTTACCAGAGCTATGATGAGCGCCAACGACTGCTGGACAGATCACCGACTAATACACTCCATGATGGCTATCAAGATTATACCTCAACGCAGGCTTCAAGGGAGGAAACCATGGCACAAAATGAACACTCAAGCCCTTCAAGATCCCATTAAGCGGGATTGCTTCCAAACAACTCTTCCCCCCCATTTTTTAAATTAATTTTCCAGGTTTAACACCACACAAAATAACAAATAACAAAACATACAAAAAATAAAAACAAACATACATACAACACTTCTTACAGTTAAAAATCCAGATTACATTCCATTGTTGAGTGACTTCCTCAAATCCTTCCTGACTGATTTTCATCAAATCTCATTTTAGCAATTTTTCAATATCCACTTTCTAATAAAATTAACCTGTTCAAATTACTAACTTCCTTTCTTTTCATAATATTTTTAATCCATAATCTTATACAATTCAACATAATTTAATCCTAAACCAAACTTCATACTTGAAAGTAATTCCACTTATGTTATATTATAATATTTTGCTAAATATTCCTTAAATTTCTTCCATTCTTCTTGATGCTCCTCCTCTTTCTGCATATACAATTCAGTGTATCATATGCCTTCATTATATATCTTTAGGTGCCTTGGGCTGATTAACATTCTATGTCCTTTTAAATATGTTTGTGATAGGAGGGTTATTGGTTTGGTAGACAATGTAGTGTGTGCATGCCCAGCGGATGACCTCCAAACCATCCTAAATATATTCACAGAAGCTTATGAAAAGCTTGGCTTGTTGCTCAACATCCAAAAAACCAAAGTGTTGCACCAACAAGTACAAAATAACCCCTCTGCAGTGCCACAAATCCAACTCAATGGTGTAACGTTGGAAAATGTTGATCACTTCTCCTACCTAGGCAGTTATCTTTCCACAAGGGTCAACACTGATGCCGAAATCCAAAATCGCCTGAGCTCTGCAAGTGCAGAGTGTTTGAAGGACATTTGCAAGGAAACCAAAATGCTTGTTTACAAAGCTATTGTACTACCAACCTTAAGGTATGCTTGTGAAACATGGACTACTTATAAACGGCATCTTCAACTCCTCGAAAGATTCCATCAACGGTGTCTCCAAAAAAACCTTACACATCACTTGGGAAGACAGGTGAACTAATATCAGTGTACTGGATGAAGCAAAGATCCCCAGTGTTGAAGCAATGATTCTTCAACATCAACTTTGTTGGACTGGTCATGTTGTGCGGATGCCTGATTATCATCTTCCAAAGCAACTACTCTATTCCGAACTTTAGAATGGAAAGTGTAAAGCTGGTGGTCAACAAAAGAGGTTTAAAGACTGTCTCAAGGCAAATCTAAAAAAAATGTAGTACAAACACCGACAACTGGGAAACACTGGCCTGCAAGTGCTCCAGTTGGAGAACAGCTTTACCAAAGGTGTCATGGACTATGAAGACACTCAAACTCAGAACACAAGGGAGAAACATGCTAAGAGGAAGGCACGCTTGGCAAATCCACACTGTGATCAACTCCCACCCGGAAACCAATGTCCCCACTATGGAAGGACGTGTGGATCCAGAATTGGCCTCCACAGTCACTTACGGGCTCATTGTTAAAACCGTGTTTATGGAAGACAATCTTACTTGGCTACAAGTGATTGCCAAAGAAGAAGTTTAGTTAAGTACAACACCACAAATGCACAGGTGATTTATCAGCATCATGGCAAGCCATACCAACAGTTATGGTTAAAAGTGTTCATTTATTAACTCAGAATTTTAAGAAGTTCTCATGCATGTAGCAAATAGGAGCACAAATACAAAGGGGGAAAGCAGTATTTAAAATTTATCATGATTATGGTAAAGTGTTAAGTAAGCTATTAAAAAGCCAAGTTAAAATTCACACACAGCCATCACACAACCTCCCAAAAAGAAACTAAACAGGAAGAGCCTGGAATTTGAATTTATTTACCATGTAGTAGCCAGGCAGCAGCTTCTGAAGGAACTCTGCTTCTTTGTGTTGAACTGTTTTGATTATGAACTCGTCATCACTAGTGACAAAGAACAAGGATCCACTGGCACCAGGATTGGATAGTTCTATTAGAGGTTCACTGCAAATAGAATACTGAACACGGAAAAAGAGAAATTTAATGCAACTATGGGTAATGGAACAGACAGGATCTTAATATGGCAATGCAAGCTGTCCAACATGCATTGTCCCCTTGCTGCAGGAAATCCTTTCTCTGTATAACAGCTTATTTATCTGCTACAGCTGATCTACACATAAAAAACCTGCTGCGGACTGTTTTTTCTGTCACTGAATGTATGTGCAAGACTGCAAAAATCTTGAGGGATTTTAACTATGGAGCTCTGTGCTTTTCTAGTTCAAGGTTACAACATATGGAAGCAAATATTTATATACTTTGCTAGACAATTACAAGGCAATTAGCAGATGGAGGTCTCTAAACTACAATTCAATCAGCAAAATCCACAGGAGTATTCAATTTCAATTACAATATTCCAGTAGAAATAATGACTCAAGCAGTTGCTGAGCTATCAATTAACACATCGCGTTTTAGGGCAACCAATTATAAGCTGAAGAATTAAATGCATGGTCAAGAACTACAATTCTTCATAACACATTTTATAGAAACAGAAAGCTATTCCATACCACTCCTATTTTTGTAGGGGGGGAGGGATGTAAATTCTTACCAAGTAGTCATCAGGTTTAATACCAAAAAGTTCTCTGAAGTAGCGGAAGGCTAAAGGAGCATATGTCTTAAATCTGAAGTCAGGATAATGATGAGCAGGGGTCAAATTGCTCCCTTCACTGAATTGAAAAGAGAAATTTAAAGGTATTACACAAATTCGTTAAGAACAGAAATCTTACTATAAATATGAACCTTTAAAAAAAAAACTGCCCCAAAAGCACAGTGCAGAGCTGAAGCAGGCAGGAGCAAGCCAACATGACTAAACAGGTGTCATATCCTAAACAGGATATGAAGTTTCAATACATTCTCAGACAATTTTAGCTTAATATGCTTCTCTCCTCTTCTAAAAAGAGACTAAGCCATTTCTCCACTGTAGGTTGGCAGGTGGGGCACAGGTCACTGTAACTAGGGACTGGCAGTTATTGCAAGCTCCTTTGAAGTCCGTTAGCAGATGTTGTTTGAATTCAAACTGTGCCCACACAGAGACAAAGCAAGCTCCATGGGAAAGCCGTTAGTGCAGCAATTCCATTGGGGCTCACTGTCAGTGCAAATCAGCTAATCTGCATGGTTAGTGTTCCCTACTTGCAAATGAACAACGGGGAGCTCCAATTGTTCCTTGGAAGCCATGTCTTCACCTGCCTCACACTTGATGTCACCTGTAACATCCAGGGGGGGCATAGTCTTGGGAAAACAGCCTCTGTAGACTCCCCACCCCTGGGCTTAAGGCATTAACACAGCATGCCAATATTTTTTGCTAATGGAGCATTAAGCACTGTTGAAAAATATCCTCCACGATAACTCAGGCTCTTATCTGACAAAAGGTGTTGATTTTTGTGATCGTGTATTGCTTCAGGAGTAAATGAAGGAAACCCAGTGGATTTACCCTAGCCATGCCAAATCACTTTAAATCACTGCAGAAGATAGTGCCTGTGTACCACTGTAGGAGTATGATTTCTAGCCCAGTAGAATGGAGATATCCATGCACATCTGAATTCCATGAATGTGTCCTGAAAATAGTTAAAGGAAAGCAACTGTGCCTCAAACTAACAGAATGCTGTTCAGTTCTTGTTCTGGCTTGAACTCGACCGACTTTTGTAATAACACCACCAAAAGAAAAGAAAAAGAAATTGCAAAATATTTTTTTTTATGCTCAAAAGAACTAGACTTCTTTTTTTGTGGCACTTTTTGATATGAATATGATACATCATTAAAGCAGCCCACATTTGTCTTTGAGTATAGGGGTGGAGCTATGCTGTATTTTTATAGAGGTTGCCCAATTCTGCATCAAATGCTGTAGTAGCCAACAGGTGAGGAGTGGCGAGAGAAAAAAGACTCTCAAATGGTGCTAGAAAACAGTGAACTGGGCAGGAGTGGAGAAAGAGCCCTGTGTGTTTCAGGTGTGAAATTCTTCTTCAGAGTCAATGGAAAAAATCAATTTCCTAACTTGGAAATATGGTGCTGTTTTACAAACCAGTAAAACAAGATGAGCACCGCAACCCCAGAGTCATCCGTGAGTGGACCTAACGGTCAGAGGCCCCTTTACCTTTATACATAGCCTACTATTACAAGTTATAATATCACAATTAAGTGAACAAAGCAAATCAGGACAAATGCAGCCCCCCTTCAGATATTAGAAGAATCAAATCTAATGCAGATGCGTGAGAGCAGTTTCTCACCCTGGGTGAGCTCACACAGCTTGGGCAGAGTTGCAGAAGTGCAGCACCGTCATGAAGGAACCCTTCCCAAACCCTTGTGATTACGGATGAAATTTAGAGGGGCTGGAGGAAGAGGAGAAACTCACAGATAATAATTATTATTATCACAGATAATAATTGTCATCTACTTGGGAAGTCTTTAATAGTTGCGCTATCAAAAACTAAATAACTGGTCCTCATCATTTATTTTAAAATTCAAAAACTGCAACCATTTTATTGCTGGACGGCAAGGCAAGCAAGGCAACAACATCCTTTTTTCTAGGGAAGGTTGCAACGAAGATGAGAGACTATTTGCATAATATCCCCAATGCAGCTTCAAGGCAAAAACCTAATGCAAAGCAAGCACTCAGTCGTATTTGTGTGCCATGGTAACTATCAGTCAACAAGTGTACTGCGTATATCCAAAATACATTCATGCCATTTTCATTTGAACCTACTTTTCATCCAGATGGGCGGCGTATAAATAAATTATTATTATTATTATTATTATTATTATTATTATTATTATTTCCTTTTGAAAGTAAATGAAGGAATTCAGAGTTTGCTTAATGTTATCACTCAGATTTGTTAGTCTCTTGTTATCCAAAGATCTCCAAGTGTCTTACAATACTCTTAAAAACACAAAGAAATGCATTTATAAACAAAACAGAGAAAACAACAGCCCACATATCAGCCACAGGAAGCTTTGAAGGCACATTAAAAGGTGTGTGGGGGGGGAGACGTCTTTACCAGATGTTGAAAATATGTCAGCGAAGGGGCACATTGGAACCTACTGAGAAGTGCATTCCACAGACAGAGAGCCCCAATGGCAAAAGCCCCCTGAGCCTCCCTAAGAGGGGGAACCTAGAGAAGAGCCTCATACAAAGATCTAGGGTTTATAGTGTGAGAGGCATTCCAGAAGATATTGGGGTCCTGAACCAAAAAGAGCTTTAAAGGTCAAAACCAGCACTCTGAATTGGGCTCAGAAGCTTTAAGGCAGCTAGTGTATTTGGAACAGAATTGGTGTTTTGTGATCTACTTGTCTTGAACCTGTCACCAGCCAGGCAGCTGCACTCTGCCCTAACTTGAGCTTCCGACCCATTTTGAAAGGCAGCTTCTTGTACTGTGCGTTGCAATAATCCAACCTGAGAACATAGATTACTTCACATTTGTGAAGAGTTAAAGATCATGAAACAATGGTTTACTACCTAGAAAAAAGATATCCAAAATGAGCTTATACAGCTTCTAGTAAAAATTTTAGCACATGCAAACTCAGCCAAATATTACTCAATAATTCTGGACTGCACACTTGATGTTAGTCATATTGAACAAATGACAATTGTTGCTGTAATCAAATCATCAGGGAATGAGATGTCCGAGCCTGACGTTATAGTAAGAGCATTTCTTGGAGAATACAGGTACCTTTATAACAGAAACTTCTTGGACAACTTGAGCAAATGGGACTATCAATTGAGTACAGTGGTACCTCGGGTTAAGTACTTAATTCATTCCGGAGGTCCGTTCTTAACCTGAAACTGCTCTTAACCTGAAGCACCACTTTAGCTAATGGAGCCTCCCACTGCTGCCTCACCGCCACCGCGTGATTTCTGTTCCCATCCTGAAGCAAAGTTCTTAACCCAAGGTACTATTTCTGGGTTAGCGGAGTCTGTAACCTGAAGCGTATGTAACCCAAGGTACCACTGTATCTGCATGGTTGAGGTTATTATAATGGAAGTAACATGAAAGACAAAGAAAATGGTGTACAAAAGAGTCCTGGACATAAACTCACATGCCTTTTTTATTCCCTACCATGTACAAGGAATACACTATTGTTTCAGAGTATAGTGGGATCTGTTGTATTTCTCAGCATAGTATTTCCAAATATTACTATTATGAAATAAAATGTTCTGTTATGGTTACTAAAGATAGCTGCACAAGGATAAGGCAAAGTTTAGTAGGTAGAAAATTATCTGCAGGTTTTGCTTTTGTGTAATTACTTCATTAAGTCAAACACCATTCTATTGTCCTAATTGCATTCCAGTGCAATAGTTCTAGATTATAAAGTAGTTGAATAGCCTGACAGCCAGTCTTGTTGACTTTCTAGTCTCCCTGACTGCTCACATATTAATCTTCTTCCTCAAACCAGATTCCAACTATAGATAAAATGAACAGCTAAATTGCAGTCACACCACCACATGTATTTTTTTTTTAAAAAAGGTTAAAAGGTAAAGGTAAAGGTACCCCTGCCCGTACGGGCCAGTCTTGACAGACTCTAGGGTTGTGCGCTCATCTCACTCTAGAGGCCAGGAGCCAGCGCTGTCCGCAGACACTTCCGGGTCACGTGGCCAGCGTGACAGAGCTGCTCTGGCGAGCCAGCGCAGCACACACGGAAACGCCGTTTACCTTCCCGCTAGTAAGCGGTCCCTATTTATCTACTTGCACCCGGGGATGCTTTCGAACTGCTAGGTTGGCAGGCGCTGGGACCGAGCAGCGGGAGCGCACCCCGCTGCGGGGATTCGAACCGCCGACCATGCAATCGGCAAGTCCTAGGCGCTGAGGTTTTACCCACAGCGCCACCCGCGTCCCTTAAAAAAGGTTAGTACAATACTATGTTCTACTAAACATCAACTGCTTAATAGTTTTCTAGGTAAATCTTCTAAGAAATATTATTACTTTCAATGAATCTTTCATTTTATATGGATTCATGCTCTTCCTTTCTTCTGTTCACAAAGCAATCCTCTTTCCATTGTACTAAAGAAAAATTATATCCCACTTTTAAGGATACTTTTAAATTAAGCCATACTTGAGAAGTGATAAATATGTAAAAAACCAGCATCACGGTTGCTGGTGCTAGACTTAGACTAATGTTACCAGGATTCAAATCCATGCACAACCACAAAGCTTAAAAAGTGATCCTAGGCCAGCTGGTTTATCTCAGGCAAATCTATTTCACATGGTGGTTTCAAAAGTTTAATTTTTTTTAAAAAGGGAGGGGGACATGTATACTACCCTGAACAATGTGGAAGAAAGGCAAGATAAAAATGGAATAAAGCATTAGGCACACAATTTTTAGGTGGAAAATTAGCCACCCTTACCTGGGAAGAAACACACTTTCCACTACATAGAAGTCTTGCATAAGTACATCTCTGTCTGGCTTGGATGTGAGGTTCCCCACTGTGTATCCTATTCCCAGTTGTATGGCACCTTTAATAGCTGAGGATGCAGTCTGCAAGGAAAAACAAAGAATTTTAAAATATCAGCTTGCTGTAAATGGGTTCTCATGACACATATGTACATTATAAAGAGATTCAAATCATATTTGAAACTTGGCATCCCACAAAGTATGCAGAAAAAGACTTTCAGACATCATGGGCTGCACATGTCAGAGGCTTAGTGCTGTCCAGCTGGCCATAGATAAGACTCCGGGCTCCCAGCCAGTTCCAAACAATTGATTTATTTGACAAAGTTCAAACGTACATCTCCAGCGTTTCCATTAGCGTCCTTCCCCTTGTGCGCAGTTGCTCCCTCTAATCTTTCTTCCTCCTTTTCCGCACCCAGCATGCAAGTCTGCGAAAACTCCTCCCCTTACTTCCTCTGTGCCCAGAATGACTTGTCCCAGGCTCCTCCTCCTCCCCCTCTACGTCAGACCCACTCTCAGACGAGAAGCTACTGATAATCTCTTTAGGCTCTCTATAACTGCTGGTTTCTGTCCTTTCATCTTTTCCCGTTTGCCTCTCCCTGACATCCACCCCCTCCTCAAAGGCCCCCTCCCGCTCAGGAGACCCGACTACATCCCCTTCTCTTTCCTCAGAGGTGGTCAGGGAAAACCCCGCAAAACTACCCTCTTCCTCATCTGTCTCTTCAAACACACACCTCCAACCCCCAAGTCCTGGGGTTCCCCATTCTACGCCTTCGTCTTCTTCCTCCTCCTCATCCAATGCTGGGAAACCTTCGAATTCCTCTCCGTCTTCTGTTGTTTCGAATACCTCTTGTAAGGACCTCACCTTGCCTTTTGGTTTGTCCGGGAAGAAATTTTGGAACTCCTCTACCAGTTCATTGTTAGACATACTATCTTCCGGAACCCAGGTATACTCCGATGCCGGGGCCCCTTCCCAATCCACCAAATATTCCACATTCCCCCCTCTCCAACGAGAGTCTAGTATTTCCGTGACCTCGTTGCACTGCTCCCTTTCCTCCATTTTGGGTGGTGAGCCTTCCACTCCCCCATTACCCTTCCCCCCTCCCTGTAGGGGAACAGCAGTGACCTATGGAACACCGGATGGATTCTCATGCTTTCTGGCAACCTGAGCTTAAACGCCACCGGATTTATTTGCTGGATAACCTCAAAGGGCCCCACCTTCCTGGGTTTGAGTTTCTTACAGCCCCCTTTCCAAGGCAATCCTTGCGTGGACAACCACACCTTGTCCCCAACCCTGATGACCTCCCCTGATGTTTGTCGGCCTCCTTCTTGTATACTCCTTAGCCCTCTCCAAATTTAACTGCAGCTGTCTGTGGATCGCTTCCATTTCCTCCACAAACTGTTCGGCCACTGGAACACTCCACGACTCCTCCCCCCTCCCAGGGAAGGCCCTTGGATGAAGCCCATGATTGGCAAAGAACGGTGTCATCCCTGTGGATACATTCTCCGAGCTGTTGTAGGCAAACTCTGCCAGGGCTAGTTTGTCCACCCAATCGTTCTGCTTCTGACTTACATAACACCTCAAATACTGTTGTAACACAGCATTCGCCCTCTCCGCTTGCCCGTTGGTCTCGGGATGCCTTGCCGTTGTAAAGCTCACTTCGACCTGGAGCAGCCCCATGAGCTTGCGCCAAAATCGTGAGGTAAATTGAGTCCCCCGGTCCGAGACTACCCTTGCAGGTAACCCATGTAACCTAAACACGTGCTCTACGAACAGCCTAGCTGTCTCTTCCACCGTTATGGCGTGCGAACAGGGCACGAAATGGCACATTTTGGTCAAGAGATCAACGACCACCATGACCGCTGTCTTACATCTGGGTAAATCAGTGATAAAGTCCATGCCCACCACCTCCCACAGCTTCCCAGGTGTGGGCAATGGTTCCAGCAACCCCGCTGGTGCCGCCCTTTCCCCTTTGGCCCTCTGACATGTGTCACATCCTCGCACATATTCCTTTACATCCTCTCTCACCCTTGGCCACCAAAATTCCCGTGTGACCAGTAGCATGGTCTTATGCTGTCCAAAATGCCCCGCCGTACAACTGTCATGGAGTTGCTTGAGGATTCGTCCCTGAAGGTCTTCTCCTGGAACATACAAGGCCCCTTTGTGGTACAGTAACCCCCTTTTCACCTCAAAACCCCCCTCGGCACCCCCTCTTTCTCTTACCTCCCCCATCTTTTGTCTGGCAAAGGCATCCTCTCTGAGCATTTGCATCAGTTCGTCATCCTTGACTAACGTCCCCCCGCACAACCATCTGCTCTCCGGGAACATCGGTCTCGCTACAGGTGGCCCTTCCCCCATCATATTCTCGGGTTTCCGGGAGAGCACATCCGCCCTCGCATTCTGCTCTCCCGGCACGTATTGGATCTTGAAGTTGAAGTTGGCAAGAACTCTGCCCATCTTATCTGTCTCTGGCACAACACCCATGCCGTACGCCAATACTCCAAGTTTTTGTGGTCAGTGCACACCAAAATTTGGTGCTTTGCCCCAACCAGGAAGTGCCGCCATTGTTTAAAAGCAGCCACTATCGAAAGCAATTCCTTATCGTAGATGGTGTAGTTCTGCTCTGATTTGTTGAGTTTCCGCGAAAAGAAGGCACCCAGATGCCATTCCCCTTTTTGATCTGGCTGCAGCAGCACTGCCCCAATCGCCCGATCCGACGCAACTGTTTCCACCCATAGTGGTTGAGCAGGGTCGCCGTGGATCAGTTGCTCCTCTGAAGCGAAAGCCCTCTTTAGTTTCTCAAACCCCTCTTGGGCCGCCAGCGTCCACTGAAACTTCTTCTTAACACTGAGACAGTCCGTGATTGGCGCCGTCAATTCTGCGAAAATCTTTATGAATTTCCTGTAGAAATTGCTGAAACCCAGGAAACGCTGAACATCTTTCCTGGTTTTGGGACTCTCCCATTCCACCACTGCCTTCACTTTCCCCGGGTCCATGGCCAACCCCTGGTCCGACAGCCGGTACCCCAGGAATTCGACTTCCTTTGCGTAGAACTGACATTTCTCCAGCTTGACCCACAATTGGTTTTCCTTGAGTTTGCTGAGGACCTGCCGTACATCCTTCACGTGCTGTTGTTCATCCTCCGAGAACACAAGGAGATCGTCTAAAAAGCAGACACAGTTTTTGTAGAGCAAAGGTCCTAGCACATGGTGCATGAAGGCTTGGAAACAGTGACTTCCGCACTGCAAACCGAAGGGCATAACTAAATACTCAAACGCCCCCATCGGGGTGAACATGGTGGTCTTCCACTCATCGCCTTCTCGCACTCGGATAAGGTTGTAAGCCCCTCGGAGATCCAGTTTGGTGAAAATCTTCCCCTTCCGCACCTGTGCCAAAACGTCGTCGATTCTCAGCATCGGGAAAGCCACCGGTACTGTCTGGCTGTTCAAAATTCGAAAGTCCACCACCAGGCATCGCTCTTTCGTCGATCTCTTGTCAACGAAAAACACGGGACTCCCTCCTGCCGCCTTGGACTCCCTGATGAAACACCTTCTCAGGTTTTTCTCAATAAACTCTTTTAGGTCCTTAAGCTCTCCCTCCGACATGGAATAGGTTTTCCCCACCAGCAACGTTGCCCCCGGTACCAGGTTGATCTGACAATCATATGGCCGATGGGGTGGCAACGCATCCGCCTCTTTCTCGCTGAACACCTCGTGGAGATCCCTGTAACACGACGGAATCTCGCTCGCCCCTGCTCTGCATGCTGCTGCCCTCCTGCCCTCGTTTTGTCGATCTAGCCCTTGAGCTAGGCAGTTCTCCATACAGTGCGTCGAGCCAAACGTCAGGGACCGTTGGTGCCAGGAAACCATTGGATCGTGCAAAGCCAGCCAGCTCATGCCCAATATGATAGGCGGCCCCGCCAGTGTGGCCACGTGAAAAGCGATGACCTCAGAGTGGGTGGCCACACGCATTCGCATTGGGGGTGTTCGATGCGTCACTTCACCCCCAGCAGTTCTCTTCCATCAATTGTTGTCACTTGCAGCAGAAAATCCAAAGGCCTCAGGTTCAGTTGGTGTCGCACCAGAAACTCCTTGCTGAAAAAGGATGCTGAGGCCCCAGAATCAATTAGTGCCAACTCCTTCACCGTCTGTCCATTTGGGAGTTCTAGCACCACCTTCAACATTATGCTTGCTTTGGGGTGTCCAAGCCGGGGACTTTCTGTGTTGCTCCCGCCTGGCTGTTGCCCCGGTTCCCCACCAGCCAGGCCTCTTCGTTTCCCAAATGCTGGGGCTCCTCTCCCTCTGCCTGCTGGGTGGCCCCCACCATTCCCTGCCAGTTACGACGCTCTGGGCACACTCTGGCAAAGTGCCCAGTCTTATGACACACAAAACATCTTTTTCCCGCTTGCCAGTCTTTTTTTCCCCTTCCCGCCAGACCGTTGGGCTTTCAAACTCTCCCGCGCCCTGGCTGTGCCTATCTCCATAGGCTCCGGCGCTTGTTGACATTCCGAAGCAGCTGCAGGCATCTCAGGAATGCGGTCACCATGGAAACTCCGCTCTCTGCCTTGCTTCCTTTCCCTCCATCTGGCTTCTTGTCTCAAACCCACCCCAAGAGCAGCCTTTGTTAATTCGTCCATATTTTTAGGTCGTGGCCCCCTTGCCAGCTCGTCCTTAATTTCTGGATTAAGTCCATTTTTAAATATCGCTTGTACTGGGTCCGCCTCTAAATCCCACCCCAGTTTCTGTACAAGCATAGCAAACTCAGACCAGTAACTGCGTACGGTGGATTTGCCTTGTCTCAAAGCCAGCAGCTTCTCCTGCGTTCTGTCAATTAAACTCTGATCTGCATAGATAAAATCCATTGCTTGCCAAAATTTGGCTTCATTTCTGACGGCTTCATTCCCCGAGACTATTAATGGCCGGATCCAGCTTCGAGCCCCTCCTCCCAGATGTCTAATGATGTGAGCAACCTTTGCTGCATCGTTCTGAAACTTATCTCCTTCCAGTTCCAGAAAATATTTCATCTCTGTTTTGAAATCCAAGTAACTTTCCGTGTCTCCCTGGAACCGTTCCACCCACACGCACCTGCCCCCACCTGCCGATAGCCCGCCTTGGGTTCCTCTCTGAACAGTCCGGGCTTCCTCCAAACGACTCTGCAGGTCTTGGGATCTTTGTTCCAGAGCGACATTTCACTTTTTAAATTCCAACAGCTCCTTCTCCATGTCGAAGCTGTTTCCTTATTCCACCAGCTTTCCAGCAGAAATAATGTTGTAGAGGGAGCAAGCTGTGAGAGGCTTAGTGCTGTCCAGCTGGCCATAGATAAGACTCCGGGCTCCCAGCCAGTTCCAAACAATTGATTTATTTGACAAAGTTCAAACGTACATCTCCAGCGTTTCCATTAGCGTCCTTCCCCTTGTGCACAGTTGCTCCCTCTAATCTTTCTTCCTCCTTTTCCGCACCCAGCATGCAAGTCTGCGAAAACTCCTCCCCTTACTTCCTCTGTGCCCAGAATGACTTGTCCCAGGCTCCTCCTCCTCCCCCTCTACGTCAGACCCACTCTCAGACGAGAAGCTACTGATAATCTCTTTAGGCTCTCTATAACTGCTGGTTTCTGTCCTTTCATCTTTTCCCGTTTGCCTCTCCCTGACAGCACAGTTCTAAAAACCTCTTCCAAGTAAGAAAAACACCAGCACCACCAGATCATGTACAAGCCTTCCTGAGTCAGTATTAGCTCCTTCTATAGCAGGTGCTTTCTAACAGAAAGAAAGAGACTTTCGAGGAACCAGAGGAACTTTCAACAACTTCTATTAATCTTTACACTGTTCTAGCAGGAGATGAGAGGGCAGAATTTCTGCACCTTACCGCCTCATTTATCTGGCTCAAACACCCTAAAATGGAATAGTAGCCTTGTAATTCCAAAGCCCTCTCTTTCAGCTGCACCTGTTTCTATTTGACAGAAGGTGCTTAGGACCCCTAAATTATGCCTATGAATATTAGCTGTGGGGCTATAAAAGCAAAAGGAGAGTAGACAAGGTAGCCAATAGGCATAAACATGGTACCCAGTGTGGTGTTGTGGTTAAGAGCAGTAGTCTCGTAATCTGGGGAACCGGGTTCGCGTCTCCGCTCCTCCACATGCAGCTGCTGGGTGACCTTGGGCCAGTCACACTTCTCTGAAGTCTCTCAGCCCCACTCACCTCACAGAGTGTTTGTTGTGGGGGAGGAAGGGAAAGGAGAATGTTAGCTGTTTTGAGACTCCTTTGGGTAGTGATAAAGCGGGATATCAAATCCAAACGCTTCTTCTTCTTCTACCCTCCAGATGTTGTTGGACTTCAAATCCCATCAGTGCCAACTAGAACAACCAATGGCCAGGGATGATGGAAACTACAGCTCAACAACATCTGGATGCAACACACTGACTCCCCTGCAATAAGAGGAACGATCAGTGCACACCCCCATAGAGCTGACTGGCAAGGCCTAGTTGCAACTAATGGGCCTGGTGGTTAGTGTTGAGGGAAGATTGCTGTACCACTTCTGGCGAAAGAAGTTACTGGCTCTGCTCAAGGAGTGGTGCTGGGTCTCCATTAGCAAATAATTAATGGGCCAAGAGAGGAGAAGCTCGAGAAAACCCCCGTGTGTGACTTAAATAGCCTGTCCGTGGACTATTGTTCAATCAAGGAGAGGACTAAATATTGGAAGCTTACTTTGAAGAGCTGATTTTCCCTGGCTCTTTGTATTTCAAACATAACAGAAGTGGAATGCAGCGATAATGACTGATAATATATTTTTAGGTTATTTTCTGGGGTGGGTTTTTTCTTAAAGAGGTGGGCCTCTAATATGTAGATGTTAAAATTCCTACAAACCTAATGAGGAATATTTCCTCATGCTGATCACATAGTTATTTAAAAGAGATAGGTAGCTGAATTTGTATTTTTGTTATACTGTTTTTTTTAAAAGAAAATATTACACATTTTGATGCTTGTATGTTTTTTATCATCCACAGGTATTCAGAGTGAAATAAAGCAAATCGGATTTTATTATGAAGCCACTATAGTGGATACCTGGTTGGGCCTGCTGTGCTTAGAACCAGTGCTTTTTTCTGGGGGTACTTAAGGGTATGCAGTACTGGCACCTTTTTTCTAGAAGAAAAGCACGGTTTAAAACCAAGAAAATTAGAACCAGCCATTTAGCAATTTAAATTGCAGAGAATCAAGCCAAACAAATGGCTGGCAGCTCAGATTACTTTAAATTCTAGAAACACAAGATTACAAGACAAAATATAATGGCTAAGAAGACAGAATCTATCTATCTATCATCTATCTATCTATCATCTATCTATCATCTATCTATGTCACATACATTCCATTTGAGTTTTATAGAATGAAACCCAGGAAAGAGAATTCTGAGAGAAAATTCACACAGCACACTCCACCAATCAAAATATAATACAAAAGACTTTTCAGAGTAGCAAATCAATTAAGTCTCATAACACCTATGGCTTCAAGAATCTTGACAGCAAACATATTCTGAGTCAGGCACAGCAGCTTATTTAATTCTAAAGAAGATGTCTCAGTTCCACACAACATTAATGTACACAACAGCTCTGGTCTTCCTTGCTCCTGATTCTGTAGCACAGGGGACCAAACTAGTTACTTCTTGGTTTACCACTCATTGTGTGCATGGAGGAAAGAGACCACAGGCCTTGGCTCACATGGCACAACAAGCAAGATTATGACTTTTTCTTTTCCTCTGCCGAGCAGAGCCTGGAGTGAGGGGGGAGAAAGGCACTCATGCCCTTAAACCATAGTTTATTTTAAACTATAACTTAATGTTGCGTGCTAGCCAGGCGATTCTCTAGTTTCAACTTATTTTTCAAATGAGAAGCAATATGCCGTTGGGTAATAATTGTGTTTTTTAAACTAATTAATATCAGATTTTTCAAGTTGCATAACAGTTCCTAACATGCAGTTTGCTAAGAACAAGGCACAAAAGCTCATTCCTAAAATGAAACTTTTAATTGGTAAAGGAACTGAATGGCTCATTCACAAATTTCCCATTTCTGCCTTGAAAAGGTCTTTTATAAAAGATTAATGTCCTGCATAAGAACTAAATTATGTAACTTTGAGTAGACTTTGTTTCAGACTGATCCTTTTTGTGAACTGAACAATCCCCTACTGAAACAAATGCTAGCAGAAAGAGTTTGTAGATTAAAGGAATCAATTCTATAAAAAACAGAAAGTTTCAGAAAAGATGGATGCTAAAGTTACACTGTCTGTCTGTCTATCTATCTATCTATCTATCTATCTGAATAAGGGATGCTAGACTACCTTAGGTCTATCTATCTATCTATCTATCTATCTATCTGAATAAGGGATGCTAGACTACCTTTAGGTTAATAGTATTCTAATGAGAGTGGATCAGTTTGACCAGTTGTTGTGGTCATGAGCAATCATTGTTGTCTTCTTTATTGAGAGGCATTGTTGGCATGTAAGAAAATACTCTATTCTTAAATACAGAACTATTTATTGACCCCAGTAGCACATTGCAATTGTTAACGCCTGATGGGAACAAGCAACCACCATAGTAGAAAAAATGTATCCTATGGGGTATGAGAAAATGCACAACAGATGAAAAAAGATTACCTACATATCTATGTACCATTTGCCTTAACTCTTACAAGGAAAAGTATTCGCAACCCACTACCATCTTATTAGTGCGGGAAATTAGCAGCCAAACCTAACAAATGCATATTATTGCTAGTTAGCTTGAGGAGGGGCTAAGTCCACAGAGCCAGATTGCTGAATGGCAAATACTAAGATCATAGAAATACAATTGGTAGAGAGGGCTCAGTGTGATGTCATTTCTCCTCCTATCCTGGAGAGGAAGGAGCATATTGTACTAACCCCTTCCTCTCTCTTTTCCTTTGACCAGCGTTGGATGCTGGCATGCCTCCATTCGCTCCAGCTTTAGGCACATGCCTGTAAATATAAGTACAGTTGTACCTCAGAAGTCTAAAGGAATCCATTCGAGAAGTCCTTTCGACTTCTGAAATGTTCGGAAACCAAGGAGCAGCTTCCAATTGGTTTCCGATTGCACAGGCACACCGGAAACACTTCCAAAAAAAGTTCAAAAACTGGAACACTCACTTCCGATTTTCAATTGTTCAGGAGCCGAGGTACGATTGTATTCTGCCTGCATAGTTTTTAGTGTTACTGTTGCTGTGAACCAATGCATAATTATAAAGTAAATCTTTTTTTTAAAAAAAATTATTTTACAAGTTGTTGCTGATTCTTTATTCAGCGGGGTAAGAAAGGGGAGCCAACTTATTTCACAGCTAGACTTGTCAAAGCCAGGTTTTGCAGTCTAATTCCTATGCTTTTAATTTAGCTGCCAAGAATGGAATTTTGAAACTCTGTTTAACCCACACATGTGGGTGCCTAGAGGGAGAAATTGCATTTAATATATCCTCTCGTACTATTAAAGCCCACTCCACAATTAGAAAGGTTCCGCTATGTTCTAAGGCAATCCCAGAAAAGATGGAACACATGGAGGGAAAAACACAGGATGACAATGACAGGGTGACTACAAAAAGTGAGTGAACACTTCCGGAGGCGGCGCCATCGGCAATGGCGGATTCCCTCTAGTCTTGAGGGAGTAGCTCCGCGGAAATCGGGTCTTGCCGCTACGGCGAAGCGGGGACCCTTTCGAAAACCACAAGCGGGTGAAGCCTGTGACCGTGGGACTCGGCGGGCACCTTTAGCATCCCCCCAACTTGCGAGGGAACCCTGCGAGGGGTTCCGGAGCGAAACGGGGAGTTTGGCGCGGTGCTGAGAGTCGATTGCTTCTTCCGTGGAGTGAAGCCACGCAGCTGTTGCCGGAGAGCGCTGACCTTTTCCCTGTGACAATTCGACTATTAAACAACTACCCGTGAGTAGGTCAAGCTTTAAGATTGGAGGCTAAAGGAAAAAGAAGGCTTAATTTGGCACTGAAGCGGGAAGGTGTAAACAGGAAGTCCGCCTTCCGTTTTGTATATAGATCAAAGCAAAGACTGTTTAAGCTAAGACCTGGAGAGGTGCGTTAAAAAGACTCAAATCCAAAAGTCAAATTAAAAGAATTCCCTCCCTGAACTGCAGGAGAGGGGAGGGAAGAGGGGAAAGTATTTATTGCCTGCAAAAAAAGAAAAGAAGGAGAAAAAAGGGAATAAAGACCACCACTTAATTCCTGGGAACGGATTGCCAGGATTAATAGAACTGCTGTATTGAGAGCCGCACTATTTATGGACAATGTAACTTTTTGACAGTTAACTCTGCAAGTGAGATACGTTTGAAGATCTTCTTTGGACTTGAAACTGTTGTTTATTTTGTTGAAGGGGGACTTTGGAAAAGTTGGAAAAGATACTCTATTGCATTATTATTGACTGTTACTGTGTCCCCCTAGAGGAACACGGAAATTGTTACAACTGGTTGGGGAATTTTCCATTTCTAACTAGCCAGGGAAATTTCCACTGCAAAACAAGCTTGATCGTGGGACTGACCTTGACTCTCAGACAAAGTGTTATGGAGGAAAAGACAACAAGATCGGGCAAGGTTAGACTCCAAGAGACTAGTGCAGTATTGCAGCAGCGCAGAGCATCTGCATCTGGCCCTCCTGCACCACAAGGGGAAGATCCTGTACAAGCAGGGGCAAAAGGTATGGCCTCTGAAGAAGGATTTACTTCAGTTTTAAGTAAAATTTATGAAACCTTGGATAAATTAAGCAAACAAGTTACTGAAGCGACAAATAAAATTGATCAAAACACTACAAGCATTAACAACTTGGGGCAGAAGGTGAATTCAAATACAGAATGTATTGAAAAACTGCTGCAAGAATCTACATCAAATCGAAAGACAGCTGAGGAAGCAAAAGAAAAAGCAGTGGCCGTAGAGGAAAAGATAACACCAATATGTAAACAGCTTGGGGACCACCAGTCACAGCTTGGGGACCACCAGTCACTTTTGTCTTTGATTGAATTGAAGGAGAAGCAGACCAATCTGAGGATTAGGGCGGTACCTGAACTTGAAA